ATCCCCTCAGTTTCAAGGCACTCCCCTTGTCGCCTCAGCCAGTATCGGAATCCTCGGCGTCGACATATCGAGTGACGTGCAGTTTCGTGGTCACTTGGAAGGGAAGGCCAAATTGGCCTCTAAAAAGCTTGGCGTGCTCAGCAGAGCGGGACAGTATTTTATGCCGGCACACCGCCTGCAACTTTACATGGCGCAGGTTCGGCCGCACATGGAATACTGTTCCCATCTCTGGGCTGGGGCTCCCCAGTACCAGCTCCTTCCACTTGACCGCATCCAGCGCAGAGCGGCTCGAATCGTCGACGACCGAGTGCTTTCCGATCGGCTCGATTCACTGGCGCTGCGAAGAGATGTTGCATCTCTTTGCGTATTTTATCGTATCTATCACGGGGAGTGCTCTGAGGAATTGTTCGGATTAATCCCAGCCGCCAAATTTCGTGAACGCACTACACGGCAAACGTCCCGATACCATCCACACCATCTGGATGCTTGGCGGTCCACCACTGTACGTTTCACAAGGAGTTTTCTTCCACGTACAACCTCTCTGTGGAATAGTTTACCACCGGCGATTTTTCCGGACCGATATGACCTGGGGACCTTCAAGAAAAGAGCTTACTCCTTTCTAAAGGGCCGGCAACGCACCCGCAATTCTCCTGGTGTTGCGGTTGATCATGGGCGGCGGTAGTCACTTAACATCAGGTGAGCCGCATGCTCGTTTGCCCCTTTTTCTATATAAAAAAAAATGTGGGAAATGATAGACATAAATAATTAAGCACCTAACACAAACTCTAGCTAATTTTACTTCTTAATTCATTTTGCTAGTAAAGGTTGTGTGCTTTATCAACTATTCAACAAGCAGCGTTGAAGGCTTGGAGGCGCTGAAACTGAATTCATAAAAGAAACTTAATTACATAAAATATATACCGGCTTATGGAAAATGCAGTGCACTTCGCCTTCTTCGGCAATCTGGCTTATTATTATATAGGGTTATGTTGCAATAGCCGACCAAATAACATAGCCAAAATGTTCCCCAAGCTGTACAAATATAAAACTATTGCTATTAATCCAAATAAAAGAAAAAGGAATTTTTATAACTATTATCATTTCATAGCAGCTGCTGAAAAATAAATAAGTTTAAAAGTATTTAAAGTGATTTCTATAAAATTTCTGCTGAGTAGACGCCTTTTTAGTTCATTCCATTAAGTTATTATGTTATGTTAATTTTGTGTATATGTTTGGAACTAAATAAATTATATTATTATTATTGTGGGGTATCTATATAGTTTTCTCATCTGGTTGGGTTCTATAAATATATAATTATAAATGAAAATGAAAAGATAAATATACATAAATATCAATAACATAATAAATATAAAAGTACATAAATAAATAAAAGCCCAACCAGATGGAGGCCCTCGGCAGGGGAGACCAAACGGCCGAGGGTTAGGGGGAAAGGGAAAGAAACCGGCGGACGATGCGGGCGGTATCGAGGAGCACCGCCTTCTGCATTTGAACCTGGAGCGGTCCGCCACGTAGTCCCAGCCGCCTCAGATGACCCGAGAGGCTGACTGGGATTAGCCCGTTTGCAGATACGACTACAGGAATAATTTCGGTCGGCAGACCACCCCACATGTCGGTCACCTCGTGAGCCAGGTCCAGATATTTTGTTTGCTTGTCTGTTTCGGCTTTCACGAGGTTCTCGTCATACGGAATGGTAATGTCGACCAAAAATATCCTTGACTGTGCCCGGTCCATCAGCACAATATCAGGCTTATTCGCAAGAATAGTCCTGTCTGTGATGATGACCCGGTCCCAATAGAGCCTGGCGCGATAATTTTCGAGCACGGCTTCCGGCAAGTTCTTGTAATACGGCAATTTCCGATCCACGAGACCGTATTTCAGAGCGAGCTCCTGGTGTAGAATTATTATTATTATGGGGTATCTATATAGTTTTCTCATCTGGTTGGGTTCTATAAATATATAATTATAAATGAAAATGAAAAGATAAATATACATAAATATCAATGACATAAAATAAATATAAAAATACATAAATAAATAAAAGCCCAACCAGATGGAGGCCCTCGGCAGGGGAGACCAAACGGCCGAGGGTTAGGGGGAAAGGGAAAGAAACCGGCGGACGATGCGGGCGGTATCGAGGAGCACCGCCTTCTGCATTTGAGCCCGGAGCGGTCCGCCACGTAGTCCCAGTCACCTCAGATGACCCAAGAGGCTGACTGGGATTAGCCCGTTTGCAGAGACGACTACAGGAATAATTTCGGTCGGCAGACCACCCCACATGTCAGTCACCTCGTGAGCCAGGTCCAGATATTTTGTTTGCTTGTCTGTTTCGGCTTTCACGAGGTTCTCGTCATACGGAATGGTAATGTCGACCAAAAATATCCTTGACTGTGCCCGGTCCATCAGCACAATATCAGGCTTATTCGCAAGAATAGTCCTGTCTGTGATGATGGCCCGGTCCCAATAGAGCCTGGCGCGATCATTTTCAAGCACGGCTTCCGGCAAGTACTTGTAATACGGCAATTTCCGATCCACGAGACCGTATTTCAGAGCGAGCTCCTGGTGAAGAATTCTGGCTACTAGGTTGTGCCTGTGCAAGTACTCAGAGTTAGAAAGCGCCGAACAACCGGAGATGACATGCCTAAGTGACTCACCGGGATGGCGACAAGCTCGACAGATGTCCACGGTGCCATCCTTTAGGATGTATCTCCGATAGTTGTTGGTCTTAATAACCTGATCCTGTATTGCACAGACAAAACCCTCTGTTTCCCCGAAGAGATCACCAAAGCGTAGCCAGTGGAGGGAGGCTACTGTGTCTACGAAAGGCTCATGTAGAGCCTTGTAGAACCTCCCGTGGAGCTCCTTCTCCTTCCATACGTTCTCCCGGTCGGAAATTGTCTGCACTGCCGGGTCTTGCCATTGCTCGTTGGCTAAGGATAGAGGGGTAAGTCCTTTATCACTAGAAATGACGTCCTTATAGAATGGATCATCCGATCTCGCCAAGAAGTAATTACGGAGGCTGCACACTTCGCGATTATGCATGGTGAGCGCCCTCAAGAAGCCACGCCCACCATGCTTTCGCGGCAAGTACAGCCTCATTACCGACGATCTCGGATGATGCATCCTGTGGGACGTCATGGTAGTGCGGACTTTTCTATCCAGGGCGTTAAGTTCAGTCTGAGTCCACCTGAGTATGCCAAAGGTATACATGAGGACAGGCATGACCCAGCCGTTATATGCGTGTGTCTTATTCACACCGGACAAAAGGCTGTTAAGCACTTTGGTCAAGCGTGCATAAAACACGTCGCAAACTGACTGTTTCATACCAGCCTCATCGATACCAATGTTCTGTGACATACCCAGGTATCGGTATGTTTCAGCCTCGGAAAGGGTCCTTAAGTTAACGGGCATAGATAAGTCTATGCCCTCAGAGTTAGCAACCCTCCCCCTTTCAACATGGAGGACCGCACACTTATCCGTTCCCAGCTCCATTCCAATAGAATTGCTAAATTCACAAGTGATGTTTAGCAATTCCATAAGATGGGAGCGACTGGAGGCGAATAACTTGAGGTCATCCATATAGAAAAGGTGGGTCACTTTTGTACCTCCTTTCCGAAGCTGAAATCCCCCTCCCGAAGCCCTCCAGTAAAGTACTGAGAGGGTTCAGGGAGAGGCAGAACCAGATTGGACTCAGACAATCGCCCTGGAAGATACCCCTTCTTATCCTTATGTGGTTCTCCGCAGCCATCATCCGCTCGCCCAGATAGCAAAGGATCGTACTCCATTGCCCCATACACTGCTCGAGGAAGTCTCCAACTGTACAGTCAATTTTGTACAGCTGGAGGACTCTCTTTAGCCATGTATGGGGCACCGAGTCGAATGCCTTTCTGTAGTCTATCCAGGTGGCGGAGAAATTCCGATGGTTACGTTTCACCACTTTGCCAATGACCGCGTCAATGAGAAGTGGTTCCTTGGTTCCACGACCACCGCCCGGCATCCATTTTGAGCGCGTGACATCACCTGATTTAGCTCCAGGTGACGAGTGATTCTCGCGCTCAAAATGGATGTCAGTGTCTTATATATGGTGGGTAGACACGTGATGGGGCGGTATTTGCTCGGGTCTGTGGTATCCTGATCTTTAGGAACCAAATGAGTGATCCCAGTAGTGAAGAGGCTTGGGAGCGACTTCTGGTCGAGAGCCTCTTGAAACTGTCGGGCGAGCACAGCGTAACACACTACGAACCCCTTCAGCCAGTAATGATGCAGCCCGTCGAGCCCCGGACTTTTCCAGTTCGGGGCCCTACGTATCGCCTCAGCCACGTCTTCAGGCGTTATGGTGACGGGGTCCATAGGCGTAACACTTGCACTCTGGCTCGCCACAACTTCCATCCAAGGGCCCTCGCTGTGGTTTACGGGCTCTGACCACAGTACACGCCAAAATGCGACGGTGTCAGCCTGATCCGGTCCTGGGCCCGCTCCACATACCTCTGGTCGCTCCAATGATTTATAGAGCCTCTTCTGATCACTCTGGAAGAGATGATTCTGGTTGAACCGCCTTGACTTCTCGCTAAATCGTCGAATCCGCTTCCCCCAAGCAGCGATTTTTTGCTTCAGGTCATCTATGCGCTCCGTTAGTTTTTGCGTGATATCCGGCTGGAACAAACTGATATTTGTCCCAGCAAACGCCATCCTAACGGTGCGCATAATCCTCGGTCTATTATTACCCGACCTGAACCTTGTCAGTCTGCCGATAAGGGCCCTTGCCTGTGCGATACGGTCCTCAATTCTTTTTCTCCAGGCTGGGATGGCGCTACTTTTTTGAGTAGCACGTCCAGCCACGGGAAGTTTGGCGCCAATAATACGGCATACTGCCAGTGCGGCGCCAAAAAAGAATTGAATCCGTCTCGCAAAGGTCCCGGCTGGCTTCCAAATAGGTCACCAGCATTGGGTTAAGAGCCCGCACGACAGCCCGATTTCGCTTGCTAAGGGGTATGCGGGGGAAGTCGCGGTCGATTTTCGAGAGGCATGCTGCGCGGTTCCAGCATCGACTCTTCCAATATGCTCCTCGTTTTCTCTAGTTCGTGGGAGACTATTCCATCATCGTCTGAATTAGCCACAAATGGAATGTTGACGGCAGCATCCACATATGCAGTTTGTTGCGCATCTAGTGGCGCCGCATTCCCAGCCGTAGCATTTCCATTCGATGAAGGAATAGCCTCACGTCGTAGTCGCTCGAGTTCGGCGTCACCAAATATGTTGGAGCGCAGGATGTACCTAACTCGGTCTGCCAGGTTTTGCTCAGTGACGGATAGAGATGGCTCCAGCTCTGCAAAAAAGCGATGCATCCGAGCCCGATACGCCAAACATCCAGTTTCTTCCCCTTTTGCCCTAAAATACGCCCGCAGTGCGTTTTCATTCATTGATTTAGACCAACGCATGCGACGTGCTCCACCAGCGGCGGGTGCCGCTTGCTGAGTCCGAGAAGACCCAGCCGACACCAAGCCTTCTGGTGGGGATGATGGATGCGAGGGGCTGCTAGGTGGTCTTGCAACACCCCGCGCTCGGCTGGCGGCCCGCATGCTGTCGCGTCCAGCGCCAGCTCCAGACGCGCCCTGGCGACCTCCAGGCAGCGGCCCTTTGCGCACTATCTTTTTCTCCATCATCCATAATATGGGCGTCCATTAACGGGAGACGCCCAGGCCCGGCACCGTATCGTGGACGGCCATAAGCACAAACGGGCCTTTGCACCCTGAATTCTGCCGAGGCACGGCGCTCACACCTCTCGCAAGGCGCTGACTGACTGCGTTGACGTAGCAGTTTTGTCACTTAACTGTTACGTCAGCGGGCGATGGGGTCGTCAATTCCCTACGCCAGATTATTATTATTATTATTTTGTTTGCTTTCATATCTCGGCTTTTACCGGTTTACTAATAGCACGGGCCTAAGCCAAGTGTATATTAGTGCTGGATTTGGTGCTATCCTGTGAACTACCTTATTCAGTTACCTGTGTGTTAGGTTGCGAGGCAATTTGTCTAATTATAGGAGGTATGGTTTGTTCTTCAGTTTGCAGGAACTTCCTAACTATTCCGTATGTATTCAGTATTACAGCTTTCTGTAAAAGTTTGTATGTATTGGATGGTAAATTTAAAGTTTTTACAGATTGGTGTAATTGCTTCGGTATTACGCCGGTTGTCGATAGGACAATGGGCACTATAATTACTTTTTGAAGATGCCAGAGTCGAGTTATTTCATCTTTAAGTTCTACATATTTAGAGAGTTTTTCAGCTATTGTAGTTTGTAGATTGTGCGTATTAGGGACTGCTATATCTATAAGGTATTACGGTTTTGTTAGTTTTATTTATCAATGTAATATCTGGTCTGTTACAGTGAAGGGTCCGATCTGTGAGGATAGCGCGGTCAAAGTATATCTTCGTTTTGCGGTTTTCTAATACGCTTTCTGGGTTGTATTTATAATAGGGTTCAATAGAGTTTATTAGGTTATGTTGGTGGGCTAGTTTTTGATGAATAATATTTGCAACTTGATCATGTCTGTGTTTGTAATCTGTTTGGGCTATTGCTTTACACGCACCTGTGATGTGTTGAATAGTTTCTGGACAATTGTTGCATTTTCTGCACGTATCAGAAGTTAAGATTTTTATAATATGCTTTTGGTAGTTCCTGGTCTCTATTACTTGATCCTGTATAGCAATCATGAAGCCTTCAGTCTCTGGGAAAAGTTCGCCATGAATCAGCCATGCGTTCGATGCTTCTTTGTCGACATTATTTTGGCTTATATTATGTCGATGTCTTCCATGTAGAGACTTATCAGCCCACTCGGTGATTTTTGTTTTGTCGTCGGTCAGTTTTTCAGAGTTTTATGTAGTGTTTTCTTTTAAGTTTAAGGGTGTTAGTTTACTATCATTTTGTACTATAACCTTGTAGAATGTGGAAGATTCTGATTTGTTGAAGAAGTAGTCTGAGGGTCGTAATTTGCTTGTTATGTAGGTTTAATATATCGATTATTCCCCTGCCACCTTCTTTTCTTGGCAGTGTCAGTCTCTGTAAGCAAGACCTTGGATGATGTTTGCGAAATTTGGTCAGTGTTGTGTTTATAATCCGTTGTAGAGCTTTTAAATCAGACTTTGCCCAATTGATAATACTGAAGGAATAAGTGAGTACTGGTACAGGAAAAGTATTGATGGCCTTTATTGTATTTCTAGCGTTTAATTGTGTCTTTAGTATTGTGTTGATTCGATGTCGGAACTGTTGTTTCAATTTTTCTTTAGTATATTTATAGTGTATTTGTCGTGACTGGTTGTAACCTAGATACTTATATGCCTCATTTTCATCTAGTGGTTCTATCTTATCTCCAGTTTCCAAAGTAAAATAGTGTTGATAGTTATGTCCTGCTGTTATCGAGTTTATTTTGCATTTATCTATTCCAAATTCCATTTTTATGTCATTTGTGAATTGTTCCGTAAGGTAAGCTAATTGATTTAAGTGATTTTCCGTATCAGCATAAAGTTTTATGTCATCCATGTAAAGTAGATGGTTAATATTTATGCGAATGTTATTGTTATCAGTATAATGTAAGGGGTAACCTACTGCAGATGAATTTAATAACTTAGATAGGGGATTTATAGCAAGACAGAACCACAATGGGCTCAGTGCATCACCATGGAATATTCCTCTCTGTATTTTTATTGGATTGGTTTCTATCATTTTAGTCGGAGTCGTGAGTATTAATCGTGTTTTCCAGAGACTCATCAATGATGTTAGTAAAATGATTAGTTTTGGATGTATTTTGTACATCTTCAGGACTTCTATTAACCACGAATGGGGGACTGAATCATAAGCTTTTTTTGTAATCAATGTACATGGAAAACAAGTCGGATTTCTCTTTCTGAACTTCTTTCAGTATAACAGAGTCTATGATTAATTGTTCCTTGCAGCCTCGACTGAATTTTCGACATCCCTTCTGTTGTTCGGCCAGTATACTATTGTCATTAATGTGTTTATATATAAGTTCAGATACGCATGATGTAAGGATTTTATATATAGTTTGCAAACATGTTATAGGCCTGTATTTTGCAGGGTTATTATGATCATTATGATCTTTTGGTATCATGTACGTAATTCCGACTGTCATGTAAGCTGGCATTGTTAAAGGGTTTACTATAAATTCATTAAGATGATTATAAAGGTAACTATGAATGCTTGTAAATTTTTTATACCAGTAATTGTGAATAAAATCTGATCCAGGTGCTTTCCAATTATGCAACTTATTAATTACCTTTTTAAATGTTTCTATTGGGATATGCTCAAAAGACATTTCTTGAATGTTTAAATTGCTATTTCTAGTTTCGGTTTGTATCCAGTTGGCATGAGTATTATGTTCAACAGGTCTTTCCCAGATTTCTGCCCAAAACTTTCGCATGTCCTCTGGATTAGGGCCGTCACCTAGCCAGTTTCTTCTTTGTACGTTAGCTGTTGTTTGTTTTATGTTTCGATAAAATTGTTTTTCATTGTTCTGGAATTGATTTTTTTGTTGTTTTCTTAACGTGCATGCTTTGTATCTACGTAACCGACCTGAGATGACTGCAAGTTTTTGTTTGAGTGTGTCAAGTGTGTGTGTGAGATGTTTATTTTGTTCCTTATGTACTGAATGAGTTTTGTACTGTTGTACTATATTTTAATATGTCTTTCTAGATGTTTTGATCTAATTCCGTTAATGTATTGTGTTACTCTGCCAATTTTTGTTCGCAACTCACCTAGTCTCCTTTCTAACCGTTTTTGCCAATGTGGTTTATAATCGTCTTTAGCTTGGTAAGATTTTTTTTGAGATTCGTACGATAATTTTGCCCCGTTTACCTTAGCTGCTGTCCAAGCAGCGCAATATATTGCAGTTTGTAATGTAATAAAGTCCGTTTCTGTATTTATAGTTTCGGGAAGAGTTTTTTCATTAAGATAATGAACTATTATTGCAAGTTTTTTAGATGGCTTTTGTTTAGGGATGTAGACTCTGCTTGTGGGGTCAGTGTCTTTGAAATGTAATAATGCTTGCTGAAAAGTTTCGTCTATGGGATCTCTCTCAGGTTGTGATAGACTAAGTAAAAGAGACTTCAATGCTATTTATAAAGGGAATGTCAGTATTGTTAGCGCCTTGTGTATTTTCTTGAATTGTATGAGGTATTGTATTTGCGTCACTTGAATTATTCAGATTTATTGATAGTTGTTTATTTACTTGTTGTTTTATTTCATTTAATTTATCGTTACTGATGTATTTATTATTTACTATTGCTCTTTTTTGGTCAGCTATTCGCTGTTCATTTAAATGAGCAAGTGTTGGGAATGCATTAACGAAAGCTTCATGTAATTGTTTTCTATAAGAAGTTCTATTTGTATTTAGTTGAGTTATCTGGTAATACAGTCTCATTAAAGTCTCATTTTGTTCCTTTGTCCATCTCATTTTAGTTCGCGCTTGTGTGTTAAGTGTTTCTAAAATTTCTTGTTGTGTTTCATGAGTGTTTGGGAGTCTAGCATGATGATTTAACTCTTCTCTTACTTCTTTATAAATCTGATCTATAATTTTTTGTGATATCAGTTTATTGCGGACTATAGCTCTACGTTGGTCTCCTACTCTTTGACGGCTTACTAGCATATTTGGGTATTTCTCTACAAATTTCTCATGTAGTGGTTCAAGGTAATTTTTGGTATCAGTATCAAGGAAAGTTAGCTGAAGATAAGTGCGCAGTATAAATACATTCATTTCGCGCGTTTTAGGGACGCCGCTAGTGGGTGCAAGCTCAGAGTCATTAATGACATCTTGCACAACACTGTCGGTCCTATTTGGTGAAGACAAGTTGGATGTTTCACTTGTCAGATACTCGGAGGGATTGAAATCGACAGATGATGTTGTTGGTGTGGTATCATCACTTGAAGATTCAGCTGTAGCATCAACGCCGCAAGCCCGCTTGTTCAACTCACGGCCCCCGGCTGTAGCATTTTGTGTGACGGACGCCCGCCTGCTCAGCGTCTCGCCACCGGTGTCCCGCGAACTGTAGCACCCAGCACCGGCTCCAGGTGCGCCCCAACCCCCGGGCAGCGGCCGTAAATTATACATCTTTTTACTGTGCTCCATTAGTGGGTTTGTGTTGGGAATGATTAGTTCAGAGAGAGAGAGAGTTGGCCAGATGTTATTGGTATTAAATGTTTGGTATCTCCCGCTTGGGGTATTAGATCAAGATCTTCAGATCTAGTACTAATGTCTGCTCTCTTTAAGCCCCCCCCCCACCGCGACAAGGTTCACTCCCTTGGGGGGGTTATTATTATTATTATTATTATTTATCCCGTTAGAAGTCACTCTATAGCATTAAAGTACATTAATGTGGCCATATAGTATTTAAATAGATCAGAGGAGGGAAAAAAGCAATAACTAACCTCATAAAAATACTTTTTTATGATATGTTATCTATAAAAACAAACCTTATATTAATCAATTAATATATCAAAATAATAAATATACTGACGGATAAGTTTTTATTTATTTATCTAATACAGCAACTGCTTAAACATGTAGCATTACATAGGAGGATATGATTATTTTAGTTTAGTACTTGCAATACTAAATCTGTTTGTAAGTGTCAAAACTATCAAAGTG